TGGAAATTTCAATGTTGCATTTACCACATCGCTTTTCATTAAAGGCACCCTGTCTGTGTACTTGAGATGCAACATGATTGTTGTGGATTGCGTGTCTGTCTTCATAAATAACCGCAAAAGCAGTTTCAAGGGATTTTTAAATTACTTCAGAAGCATCCGCGCACAAATAAAATAAGCTCCAGGATTTTTACGTGTTTGAATAGTATTTGTATTTGCTTGATGAAACACTTGTTTGCTATGTTGCGCTCCTATCCTCGACAAGGCAGTAATGTGTTAAGTTTGTGTATGATGGTTTATGGTTCATGATTTGTGTTTTTCTCAGCCTAACATCTGCGCAGATTTTGTTTTTTATGCCAAGCTTGTGGGTTACTGTAAAAAATATTAAATGCATTATGGTCCCTGGATAAATTGAGGGCCCCTGCATGCTTAAAGTGTTTTCACTCCTCTGAGGCATCGGGAATCTTATAGTATAGGCATTCTTTAATTTGGTATGTGGCGTGCTTTTTAGATGAGTCCTGAAGCTCACATCATTGAAAGTGTTTTAGATTTAGAGTTCAGTCACTGCTCATGAGCTCGGGTCTTGCATGTCCCTGCCTGCAGGTACTGTAGCCCTTTTTATCCTCTACAGCCTTGATGAGGTTTGCATAGATTTAGGTAAATCGTATGTGGTTAGCTGGACCAAAGACGGTGAGGCAGTTGAATGACAATGGAGACCATCACAGCAATCACTGAGCCTAGCTATAGATAGAGAAACAGGCCCTGGATAGCAGTGACTGCATTTTCATGTTGAAATACTTGCATACAAATCTAAATAACACTTTCTACACTCTGGTACTCCACTTGAACTTAGAGTGTAGCTGTTTTCGACAGAGTTTGTAACTTGAAAACAGAAAAAATACCTGAATAAAATCACATCAAAAATGAAATGCCTCAGTATCTACACGACAGATGTTCATGATTCCAACAGCGTCACCTAAAGAAATATACTGATTTGCTGAATTGAAATAATTAGGCACCATAACTTCCCTATCTGTGAATAATAAACACATACATACTTATTATATGCTGTAATTATAAAGCTAATACAGTACTGTGCAAAGTTCTTGAGCCCCGCCTCTTTTCTTTACATTTTGCTATGAAAAAAGGGAAATAGGGGTAAAGAGACACACAGTTTGTGAAATTCTAATGTGCTTTAAAGTCAATATTTAGTATGACCACCTTTGTTCTTCACACAACTTGATCTCACTTGGGCAAGTTTTCTTGTAATTTCTTTGGATAGATTGCAGGAATCGTTCTGCAGGCTTCTCGAAAGAAAGACAAAACCATCTGCCATGATCGGTTGGGGGTGAGGGGAAGGAGACGGGACAAAAGACACACTGTGGAAGAAAGCCAGAGCTTAGTACTAACTGATGATTAAATGCAAAGTGGTGTTTAAACACATAAAGAATGAAGAAGAGTGAGGGAAAAAGAAACCCTCAGTGCTCAATGGGAAGGCCCCAGTAGCCAAGCTTTAATTCAACAAAATTAAGGGAGGATTCAGGGTCATCTAACTAAACAGTTTATCAAAAAGGAAAGTTTTGAACCTAATCTTAAAAGTAGAGATGGTGTCTGTCCCCTGAATCCAAACTGGGAGCTAGTTTTGCAAATAGCTGAAGGCTCTGCCTGGCATTCTACTTTT